GATCAACTATAATTGATTCTCAAAAGTAAATCCAGTGAACGTGGCTTACAGGGAAACGAGCTTGTCAAAGGTGGAGAAGAAGGGGGGTATGCTGCCTGCGATCTCCGTCTCACTCAGGTCGCTGTGGGGTGGGGAAGGCCGAACAGGGAGAAATTGCAAGGTGACTTTTGAGTCGACTCAAAGTCACAGGGACACGAGCTTGTCAAAGGTGGAGAAGAAGGGGGGTATGCTGCCTGCGATCTCCGTCTCACTGAAGTCACTGCGGAAAAGTGAGAGGCGAGGCAAGGGGGTAGAAGAGGAAGAGGGATCAGGACGTCAAGTGGGGATAGAGGGAGAGCTGGTTGTGAGAAGGTTTTGAGTCGACTCAAAACAAGGCTTTCTCCAGGAAGAGGGATCAGGACGTCGAGGGGGGATAGAGGGAGAGCTGGTGGTGGAAATTTGCCAAGTGATCACAATTCAGTCACCATGTGCTAAGGCTACAAGTGGCCTTTCCAAGAGACAAAGAGGCTGCATACATACATCCTCTGTGTGTTGTAAATGTTTCTGGGAAAGTTAAATAATGACTTCAACATCAATATCTCTTCGCATAAACGTCCCCTCACACCCACTTCCTCTCACAGTGTTCTCAGGTTGACAAGTCGAGAGAAGGACCTTGGGATTGTCTTGTCCCACCGGTTTTTGCTCAGAATCCTGTGGTGGTTGAGGAGGTTTGGTAGAGGGGGAGAGAGAGGTTGGTAGGGGGAAGGAGAGGGGTAATGGAGCTTTTGAGGCGCCTCACGAGCCGAGAGAATGTCCCTGGGATCGTCTTGTCCCACCGGTTTTTGCCCAGAATCCTGTGAAAGGTGAGGAATGTTGGGAAGGTGAGGTGGGTGGGGGGGGTGAGGAGTGGAAGGGAGAGGAGATGATTCTACAAATCGTCATGATGGAGACCGTACAGATCTCACAATTGATCCGGCACAAAGAGCGGGTAATCTGATTCAGCGTGCAGTGAGGGTATTTTGAGGCGCCTCAAAGTACAAATCTCACAATTGATCCGGCACAAAGAGCTGGTAATCTGATTCAGTCACACTCGTTTTAGACACTCAAAAATCAGTGTGTCTGGCAATGTAGCCTAAGAAAAAAGGCATCAACATAGTGTTCTACAGGGGTAGCAATGAGACAGCCATCATGGTATTTTTTTTATACAGAAAAATTGCTTGCAGTACCTCTCGCTATAACCGCTGCCTTTTCTGCAAGTCTCACTATAACCACTGCCGCTACTGCAGGTAACTCTCGTTACAGTCACTTACAGCTCCGTGAGTCCCGTGAGGCTCCCAAGGAAGTCCGGAATGGGCCCTGTGAACTCGTTGCCCCACAGGTTGCTGGCGGAAGTAGGTGAGGGGTGGGGGGGGAAGTGGGAGGGGAGGAGGAGGTGGAACTCGGTACAGAGGGGTTTGGGGGAAGGGTTGAGGCTCCCAAGAAAGTCCGGAATGGGCCCTGTGAACTCATTGCCCCACAGGTTGCTGGTGGGGGTGGGCAAGGGAGTGGGGATGGGCAAGGGGAGGGGGCGGGCAAGGGGTGAGTTTGTGGGTTTGTGGGAGGAAGAGATGCTGGCTCAAAGTAGGCTCATCACACACGTCGGAAGAGATGCTGGCTTAGAACGTCGGTGGTTGGGGCAACAGAATCATGCGAGAAAAGAAGGTGGTTGTGAGAACGTCGGGAAAGCAGGTGGAACGATATGGGGCAACAGCATCCGCAGCGGCAAAGGTATTGAGAGAGAGGCTAAGGCATTCAAGGGAACGCAGTAGCAATGGCAGCAGCAGGAGAAAGAAAGCACTGACAGGGATTTGAGTGCCTTGAGATTTGTGAGCTGCGACGGCAGAGGGCTCCCGAGGCCGTTGCCCTCCTCCTCCTCCTCGCCCGATCCCGAGATGTCGCTGGGTGGTGGGAGGAGGGAGAGATAGAGTGAGGGGAGATATGGGGACGCAGCGAGTGTAAGGGGGGCACTGACAGGGCTTGAGATTCGCGAGCTGCGAGGGCAGAGGGCTCCCCAGGCCGTTGCCCTCCTCCTCCTCCTCGCCGGAACCAGAGAGGTCCCTGTGGGAGTGAGGAGGGAGAGAGGGAAAGAGAGAGTGAAGGGGCATTAGGCTCAACAAAGCATGGAAAACGGCAGCCTAACAGGCAGGGAGGTGCTATTCGACTGGGGAGAGAGGATCCCCCGCGGGCCTGCTTTGAGTCGACTCAAAAGGATCCCCCGCGGGCCTGCTTCTGAGTCGACTCAAAAGGATCCCCCGCGGGCCTGCTTCTGAGTCGACTCAAAAGGATCCCCCGCGGGCCTGCTTCTGAGTCGACTCAAAAGGATCCCCCGCGGGCCTGCTTCTGAGTCGACTCAAAAGGATCCCCCACGGGCGATGAGATTTGTGAGAGGGGGTGTGTGAGAGAGGGGGTGTGTGAGAGAGGGGGTGTGTGAGAGAGGGGGTGTGTGAGAGAGGGGGTGTGTGAGAGAGGGGGTGTGTGAGAGAGGGGGTGTGTGAGAGAGGGGGTGTGTGAGAGAGGGGGTGTGTGAGAGAGGGGGTGTGTGAGAGAGGGGGTGTGTGAGAGAGGGGGTGTGTGAGAGGTGCTTACAGGTAGGCGAGGGTGGAAAGACCTCCGAAGGATGGTGGCACTTCTCCTGTGTAGAAGTTGTTGCTTAGGCCGCTGAGAGTGGAGAGGAAGGGAGAGGAGGGGAGAGGAAGGGAGATGAGGGGAGAGGAGAGGAGAGGAGAGGAGGGGAGATGAAGGGAGAGGAGGTGAGAGGAGGAAAGAGGAGGGAAGGGGATTGAAATGGGGCTGATGAGGATTTGTAGAGATAGGGAACGGTTTGGAGAAGGGAGATGGGCTATGAATGAAAAGCAAGTGAGATGAGTGCATGGGGTCTGAGTGGTGGGGATGTGAGTGGTGGTGTTATCGCAACGTACAGAAAGGTGAGATATTTAATTCTTCCCAGAAAGGCGGGTACAGTCCCTCCGATGCAACAACCACTCAGGTCGCTGCGGGAAAACAACAGGAGCGTGGAGGGTGGGGTAGAGGCACTTTTCCAGCCTGCAGGAGCAATTTGATTCTCTTGTGATTCTCCCCAGAAAGGCAGGTACAGCCCCTTCGATGCGACACCCGCTCACGTCGCTGTGGGCATGGGGTGGAAGGAAGGTGCGTAAAGGGTGGGCTAAGGAGAATCAACGGGTGGATCAATGTTTCAATCAGCAAGAATTTCGACTTGGCTGGGAAAGGCTGGGAGCTTGCTTGCGTGCATGTGTTACTGTCACAAGTTGGGGTTGCGGTGCGGATTGGACGTATACGCGCGAGAGAGGGGTGGGCATACGAGAGTGTGAGTGTGAAGGGCGGGCGTACAGGCACAGACTGCAGGGATAGCACTCCAGTTCATTAACCAACTGGGTTAGAAGGACATGTTTCTCCTTGGTGGATCAACGCACCCATACCCCCCCAGGACAACACCTGTAGCCCTTGGGGAGACTATTTCGGGCCATTCCAGTGTTTACTTCCAACACTCCCTTCAGTGGGAGGGCCCACCACTAGGGCATAGGAAGTTGCCAGCAGCAGGTATCGAACACTGGTCCTCCACGCTCACCGCACCATGCAGGGATAACAAGTTCGCTAATCAATTGGGTTAAAAGGGCATGTTTCCTTGGTGGGTCAACGCACCCATACCCCCCAGGACGACACCTGTAGCCCTTGGTGAGACCACTTCGAGTCATTCCAGTGTTCACTTCCAACATAGAAAAGTGGGGTGCACGTACAGGTGTTTGAGTGTTGTCATGGCTGTGAGAGACCCAGGTAGCTTGCCGAGCTTTATGTTTCGGCTCAGGTCCCTGGGGGACGGGAGGCATGGGGAAAATGAGGAGGAATGGGAGACAAATGGGGAGGAATGGGAGACAAATGGGGAGAAACGGTGAGGCAGGCAGGAGCTTAGTAGGGGGAAGTGAGACACGCGGCATGACACGGCACGGCACAGCACGGCATGGCATGGGGGCAGAAGCATACAGAAATCGCAGGTTGGGCAGTTTGGTGACGTCAGCAATGGATCCCGTGATGATGTTGTATGGCAGCGATCTGGGGGAGAAGGGTGGCAGGCGGGGCCAGAGGGGCGATGGGGTTGGGGACGAGAAGGGGTTTGAATGGATGGATTCCGTGATAATGTTGCAGGGCAGCGTTCTGGGGGAGAAGGGGGGAGAGGCGGAGGGAAGGAGGGGAGATGGGGAGATGGGGTTGGGGACGAAAGGGGGGGCAATGGGGCACCCAGTGAGGGGTGAAGGGATGGAGCCCATCAGGGGTATAGGGCAGCGATCTGGGGAAGAGGGTGCCAGGTGGGAAGAATGGATGGATGGGCCTCCCAGTCATCTTGTGAAGGCAAATCACATCACCGCGGGCATCCCGCATGGTTATACCGCACTCACATTTTGGTGAGAGCAGTGATCTCGGAAATGCCGGTGATGAGCCCTTCTGCTGCGGACACTAACATTTGGGAGTTTCTTTTGAGAATTCTCAAACGTGATGGCAGCCGCACTCACAGTTTGGTCAGAGCAGTGAGCTTGGAAATGCCGGTGATGGGGCCCTCTGCTGCGGACACTGGCAGCGTTCTGAGCATTAGGAGGGCGATCGGGGAAGAGGGGGGAGAGGATGCATCAGCGGTAAGGGATAGAGTTTTCAGGTGCCTCAAAAGCTGACCACAGGCAATGAGGGAAGAGGGGGTTAAGGATGCAAATCTGAGCCAGCACTGCACTGCACCAAGCCGGTTGTGAGGCCCCAATACATGCAATCGTTGACTGACGTTGACTCCGCCTGACTCGTTCTTGACTCGGTTTGACGGAATGTTGACACGGGTTGACTGACGTTGACTGGGCTTGGCTTATACGTCACAAAAAATGGGACGCCCAAAAGCTGTCAACAATTGGCGTATCCAGCAAGCATGCGCATCCGGGCATGGCCTAGAAAGTTGTTAGCACACACAAAGCAATCATTTCGAGCCAACGAATGCAGATGCACTGGCACTGTGTAGCTGCGCAATGGAACCCCTTTCACATTGTGTTTCCTGGAGGGGTGCGTGTTTCATTTGGTTCTTCGTTACAGCAGGCCTCGCATGTTGTTTCGGTAGTACAGTACCTTTTCGAAACTTAAAACCAGGGTGCACATTCAACGCGGTTCGGCTTGAGATGTTGGGAAGGGGGTTTGGAGAAAAACAGTGATTGGCTCACGAGGGGCGACAAAAAAATGATTCCGCTAGAGCTTCGGGCATTTCGTAGGTGGCGGGAGGGGGTGAAATGGCGGGAGTGGGTGAAACCGAATGGCGGGAGGGATGAAACAGATTGGCGGGAGGGGGGGGAAACGAAATTGCGGGGGAGGGGGGAAACAAAATTGCGGGGGAGGGGGGAAACGAATTTCGACGGGGAGGGGGAAATGAAATTGCGGGGGCGTGGGGAAACGAAATTGCGGGGGAGGGTGGAAACGAATTTCGACTTGAAGGGGTTGAAAGCACACCTCGTAACCCACTCAGTCAAGGGATAACCTTTGATGCACATTCAGCTGAATGTGCACCCCGGTTTTAAAACGATCGTGACGGATGAAAAAATGTGCCACATATAAGGCTTTGCTGACGCGTCAGAAACGGAGTGGATGGTACTCTGCAGTGTCACAACTGGATGTGACAGCACGGATGAGACTGGGGGCTTGGTGACGCACGACCTGAAAACTCAGGGTTTCGTGATACATCCTTCGCCAGCCTTCGTCACGCGAATTTCGGATCCATTTTCGTGTTACACCCCACACTACACGTCAACTTTTCGACTTCGCACAACAACTCGTTAGATTCTCACCAACCTGCACGTGCGACACCACACCACAGCAACGATCGTTGGTGCACAAGGAGCTTCCTCTTTCTTCAAAGTGCATCCCTAGTCCTACATTTTCTCGCCACACTTCTTCTCGGATCATTTGCTCCTCATTTTCTCGTCACCTGTGCCACTTCAGCTTCTCGAAACATTTGCTCCTCGTTTTCTCATAACCTGCGCTGGAAGTTCGGACATTTCTATAGATATTTTTGTTTTTGTTTTTTATGTTCGTGGTCTTCTGTCCTCCCGCTGCCAGGTCGTCGAGGGTCTGCTTTGCGAGGCAGTATTAAGGAAGTTATTCCGACAGCTTCCATGCCTGCGTCACTGGCGTTATAGTCAGACGCGTATAGTCGCTGCGCAAATCGCGTTGATATCAGGTGAGATTTTTCACGCCAACGACGCATTCTATAACATGCATCTCGTCTGTGCCTTCTATATTTCCAGGATATGTAAGTCCTGTGCAGGGTGAAGAAGCAATCTACAATCTACAGACAAATACGTCTACTCGCTTCACGAGTTGCGTGAAATCATGTGAGATTTTTTTTTGGGCCAACGACGCAATCTCTAATATGCATCTTGTCTGCGCCATGTGTATTTCCAGGTTAGGTACGTGCGTCATCGGGTGCAGGAACATTCTACGACCCCCCTATCCTTTCTACCATGTTTGTCGAAGTTATCAACATCCCGTGGTTTCGGTCACATCAACGCCTAACAAGTTAGGTAAGCTCTCTTTTGGTGCTCGTTGCCTGTGCTGACTAACGGTGGTTCTGAGCTGTCTAGCTTCGTTGCGTGTGTTGCCAGCATATTGCAGGTCCCGTTTGTCATCTAATTAAGTGGTAGTAATGCATGCTGCAATTGCGGATATATTGTTTTATCTTGTACATTGTACAGTGCACTAAACGCTGCTCAAATGCATTAGTGGTTCACATGTAAGGCATTCCAGAACATCAGCTGGAATACAGCTGAAGGTATTAATTTTGTGGCTTTATACCTAAACTGACAATTTCACTCACTGAAGTGCGTATAGCGGAAGCCGTAAATATTTTATGTAATGCTTGTATAACAAGTCGTTCTAATTTACGATGAGTCAGGTGTACTCTGGTAACCTTTTTTTTTCGTTACAGAGCACCTCTTGAATGAATTTCCCCGAATCTTGTAGTGAGTATGAGCAGTGTTGGCCCTATGTTGGAGCAATCCTTGCCGAGCCTGACGAGGTTTGCACTTACAAACCTCAAAATGAAACCTCAACCAATCCCTGCGCGGTGGAGGATTCCCGAAGATAGACCTCAAACATTGGTGTCTGGGACAAACATCAAGCAGTGCTTTAGGATTTCATGAGGAAAGATTTCCGCCGAATTTTTTTGTGACGTAACCTCACGACTCGGCCGTTCGAGTCGCGTCCGACGCCAAAGTAGGCAGAGCATTTCTTGGCCGGCCCGGGGCGCGGTCCATGTCTTATAGCCGACACGTATTGACTGGAGTTGACTGGGCTTGACTTACAAGCTGACGACTCGGCCGCTCGAGTCGCATCCGACGCCCACGTAGGCGGAGCATTTCTTGGGCGCGCCGGGCGCGGTCCATGTCTTATAGCCGTCGAACCCGCTGCCCCACTGCTTCGCTAACTGGCGCAGCGCCGTGACTGCAACGGGGACGAGGGGGAGGTCGAGGCTTGAGCACGGCACAGGGGGAACAGTTGCTGGCATTTCCTTAACAGTTGATGCGGGGGGATGATAATGAGAGCGATGTGAGAGACATGAGAGCTTCCGCAAGGAGACACTATTCGATATTTCTCAATCACACTTCAAAAGAAGAGTGAGGATGTGGAGAGGGGAGGACGGGGGCTCGCAACGAGCGCGTCGCGAGGCGACTCACGATCGGACGGCTGAATTGTGACGTCGGAGGCTTGAGGCAGAACCGCCGCAGCCGCCGCCGCAGCTGCCGCGGGGAGAGGAGCGCCGAGAGCAGCGGAAACCAAAGCAACGGCGATGGTAAGAGCGATCATGGCGTCGCCGAATTTCTTCTTACTAAAATTCCCCAGCTCGGAAAACAATAGGCCCCTCGTTCTCTATTGCAGCGTGCGCGAAATTCCCTTTGAAATAAGCGGCTCAGGGTTTAAAATTTTGCGGTTTTGAAATGTTAGGGAGCGCCTAGCGGTAGTTGTCAGGTAGAGCTGTCTCGTTCTGTGCAATCAATAACGGAAGGGAAAAATCAAAGTGGTGCGAATTAGGGCGACGGTGCTCGCAGTTCTTATAGCGGCCGCCCTACCAGCAGCGAAGTCGGTTGCTGCGCGGTACGTTCGTCCCTATGGCACTGCATCGCTCTGTGCTTGAAGCGTTTTGCGCGCTGCACTGTGGTAGCGCCGCCCTCCGTGTCTCACGGAGTCGGTGTGTGTGATGTGAGGCTTTTTGGGTGAAATCGCACTGCGCTGCCTTTTTCAGCACAGAACAGTGTACAGGCTGCAACCGTAGTGAACAAACATCAAATCCCCTTGGTGTGATGTTTCGAGTCGCGTTGCGTTGCGTCGCGGTGCGGCCAAAGCACTACATTCCACGGCTTTGCAGCGAACATGTGTGGCATGGAATGCTCTGATTGGGTGGGAAGTGCAGAGGGTAACCGGTCGCCGCCGTCGACATTTTTGTTTCCCGACGCAATGGGGGCTCGCCAGAGGCAGCGAGCTTCGCGAGCTCCTTTTCTGCTGCGACGATCGCAAAAGCCCATTCCACAATTATTGTCTGAGGTTGTAGTTGCCATCAACACAGGCAAACTGGATGTGGAATTATTGCTGATTATTGCTGATTTGACAATTATTGCCCACACTCAGCGCTCAGGGTTTCAGGAAGCTTGTAAAGTGGACACATCTGTAAGGAGTTGGAGTTTGTGCATGCTATGCAGCTTGGGTACTGTCTCCCTGCAGAAGCATTATGCCAATGTGTCTGGGCTAACTTTGTCTTGCAATAAGGGCGAACTCAGGTTGCACTACTTCTGTACGCTCATCGTGGTCAAATACGTTTCGTCACGGGGCAAAGCGGTGTAAACCTTGAAGACAAATTCCACTGAGTGGAACCGTCCTCACCCAGGATACACCAACTGCAAATGTGCGAGAAATGTACAACCTGATGTCGCCATGAAGGCAAAAAAGAACAAACATTGAGGCTCCTCAATCCTACTTGCCTAACAATATTCCACTCCACACAACAAAAGCTCGGCTAGTTGATCAAAACCAAACAAGACACCCTCCATTCGGTCATCCTAACGAAATCTATTTGCTAACAGCAACATTTTCCTTCAAATACTGTACCACCTCCGCCGCGCTCTCATACCCACCCTCCACGCACCGACCCAGCGCGACACCCGCAACGTAGTTCCCTCCCAGGAACACACCCTCAAGCCCAGCCGCCTTAATCTCCTCGCGCGCCTTGGCGAGATTGTCGAGATGGCCCACGTTGAACTGGGGAATGGCACGCGGCCACATGCGCACGCCGTGTGTTTGGGGCGCTGCTCCATCGGGCTTGATGAGCATCTTGCGCACATCGATGTCCACCTGCTTCACGATCTCCTCCTCGCTCTGGTGGGTTGGGAACATGAGAGGACGAGGGAATGAGAGGGGAGAAGCAGAAGGGAGGGGGCAAGAAGCGGCTTGATGAGCATCTTGCGCACATCAATGTCCACCTGCTTCACTATCTCCTCCTCGCTCTGGCGATGGGAGCACGGAGGGGAGTGGGACAAGGGAATGAGGGACAAGAGGAAGGGAGCAAGAAGTGGCTTGATGAGCATCTTCCGCACATCGATGTCCACCTGCTTCACTATCTCCTCCTCGCTCTGGCAGGTTGGGATGGAGAAGGTGGGGGCAACTTTAGTCGCACACGTCCCCAATGTAGAAGAGCAGCAGCACGTACCAACTGAACAAGCACTAGCACACCATAGCACCAGTACAGTCAAAGCTCTACAGCCACTACCACTCACCATGGTGGCGATCTTGGTGTTGCACGCGCCGCCAATGTAGCACAGCAGCAGCACACGGCCATCCGGGGCGCGGTTGGGGAAGAGAACAGAGCTGTAGATGGTGCCTGGCGTGAGGTGAGGGCGGGGGAGAAAGGAAATAGAACAGGGTGGGGGAGGGCAGGCACAGAAGAGAGTATAAAGCACAGTTGGGAAAGAGCAGGGAACGGAAGCCTGTAAACTGTGTCTGTGTGGGGGAGGGACAGTGGAGACAGGAGCATGTATCAGAGGGTGGTTGGATATATGAATGGGCAGTGGTCACAACATAAAGCATGGAGCTCGGCCCGGGCAGGGAAGAAGTGAAACTAGGGAACAGATCAGTACAGTAAATGCAGCCTGTTGGTATCGCCTAGCCTCCATACTCACTTTCCCATCCCTCTCACCCACCTCTCTGAACCATCCCTCAACCACTCTGCAACACTACCTGCCACCCAATGCCTTACCCAGAGTGACGATGCCTTGGGTGCGCGGGTGCAGCTGCCCAAAGCCTTTGAGCTCGCCCCCCACGAGCCGGTCCTCCCGAATGGCCTCCTTGGGGTACGAGATGGTCACTGCTGCCACCGGTGGGTAGTAGAAGGACGAGAGGGCGGCTGCTGCTGGTGCCTGTGGAAGGGAAGATGAGGGACGGGGATGGAGATGGGGGGATGGCGGGATGGGGATGAGATGATATGAGGGGACGGGGATGGAGATGGGGGGAGGAGGACGGAGATGGGGGGAGGGGGGTAGAGATGGTAGGGGGATAGAGATGGTGGGGGGATGGAGATGAGGGGAAGGGGATAGCGATAGGAAAGGAAGATGGAGATGAGGGGAGAGGGATGGAGATGAGGGGATAAATTCGATTGGCCTTGAGACTAGATGGAAAAAAGATGAGCAAGAAAGGACACACACTGAAACAAGTTTGCAGCAGGTAGAATAGAATGCTTACAGAGTAGGGCTTGAGCAGGTCAGCAGCGACGTAGGAGGGCACGGTGAGCAGCAGGGGCGTGACGCACAACACGCAGGGGAGGCAGCCGAATCAAGAAGGCCTGACTGAGCCTCAGCACACGGTTCAATGCTTTCTGGGAAGGGTGAGTAGTATGCTCACCGAATACGGCTTGAGCAGGTCAGCAGCGACGTATGAGGGCACGGTGAGCAGCAGCGAGCGCGCTGAGAGCTTCTTGGCGCCCTCGGGAGTGTCGTAGGACAGCAGGAAGCCGCTGCCACCTGGCTGCTTCTCTATGGCTGTCAGCTTCCACCCGAGCCTAACTCGATCGCCAAGCCTGAAGGGCAGGTACGGAGAGGTGACGTTGGTGGAGAGGGGTGTGATGCGGGAATACAGTGATGGTGCGTTTGGTATGCGGTGGTGTGGTGTGGTGTGGTGTGGTGCAGTACCATATGGTGTGGTATCATGCCACAACACAGCCTGGCATGGCATCAGATGGCATGGCAAAGCATGGTACACCATGGCACCACATCACCATGGCATGGCACCACATCACCATGGCACCACATCACCATGGCACCACATCACCATGGCACCACATCACCATGGCACGTACTTGTTGGCAATGCCAGTGGGGAGGGTGATGAGTCCCTTTTGGAACGACCCCACTGTCTGCCCCTTGGGCTTCGGCAGGCGCCTGCAGATACATGCGGTGAAGAGCGGTGGGAACAGGTCAGAAGGGGAGAGAAGGGGTGCAAACGAATGCAAAGGGATGGGTGAGTTGGTACAGGATAACATATGGGGGCGCTCCAAGCAGCACCAAACACGGCATTATCGCGTAACTGTGTTACCATGCATTTCCCACACATGACCTACGGATCACGGGGGGGGCGGCGGGTTGGCCTGTCTCTCCTTCATCAGCTTCATAGAACCGCCAAAGATGGACCCTCCCTCCCAGCTGCTGTTACTCTGCACTACCATGTAACTGTCTGTGTGTGTGTTACCATGCATTTCCCACACGTAACGTACGGGTCACGAGGGGGCGGAGGGCTGGCTTGCTTGCTTCTCCTTACTCAACTTCATGGAGCCGCCAAAGATGGAACCCCCCAGCTGCTCTGATCAGCACCATGCGCATCTGGTTACCAGTTACAACACACTAGGGGCTACCATGCAGAACGTACGGGTCACGGGGAGGCGGGGGGTTGGCCTGTTTCTCCTTGATCAGTTTCATGGAGCCGCCAAAGATGGACCCCCCCAGCTGCTCTTATCAGCAGCACCATGAGCATCTGGTTACCATGTTACAACACACTATGAGGGGCTACGATGCATCACGTACGGGTCACGGGGAGGCGGGGGGTTGGCCTGTTTTTCCTTGATCAGCTTCATGGAGCCGCCAAAGATGGACCCTCCCAGCTGCTCCAGGCGCCACACCTTGCCGAACGCGGCCTTCATGCTCAGCTTCGATGGGTCTCCCGCGTACACACCTGCAGGGAGCAAATGCGGGGGGAGGTGGGGTTGGAAAGGGGTGCGGGGGCAGAGAGAATGAGCAGGGGGGGAAGAGAGGGAAACACCCACCTGCTACAGGTGCCACACTTAGCCGAACGCATCCTTCAAGCAGGGCTTGGTTGGGTCTCCTGCGTACACACCTGCAGGATGGAGTGGGGGAAGGGAGGGGAGGAATGAAGGGAGGGGAGGGAGAGAAGAGGGGAGGGAAAGAA